CTTCTTCTTCTTCTTCTTCTTCTTTTCTTCTTCTTCTTCTTCTTCTTCTTCTTCTTCTTCTCTTCTTCTTCTTCTTCTTCTTCTCTTCTTCTTCTTCTTCTTCTTCTTCTTCTTCTTCTTCTTCTTCTTCTTCTTCTTCTTCTTCTTCTTCTTTCTTCTTCTTCTTCTTCTTCTTCTTCTTCTTCTTCTTCTTCTTCTTCTTCTTCTTCTTCTTCTTCTTCTTCTTCTTCTTCTCTTCTTCTTCTTCTTCTTCTTCTTCTTTCTTCTTCTCTTCTTCTTCTTCTTCTTCTTCTTTCTTCTTCTTCGTTCTTCTTCTTCTTCTTCTTCTTCTTCTTCTTCTTCTTCTTTCTTCTTCTTCTTCTTCTTCTTCTTCTTCTTCTTCTTCCTTCTTTCTTCTTCTTCTTCTTCTTCTTTCTTCTTCTTTCTTCTTCTTCTTCTTCTTCTTCTTCTTCTTCTTCTTCTTCTTCTTCTTCTTCTTCTTCTTCTTTCTTCTTCTTCTTCTTCTTCTTCTTCTTCTTCTTCTTCTTCTTCTTTCTTCTTCTTCTTCTTCTTCTTCTTCTTCTTCTTCTTCTTCTCTTCTTCTTCTTCTTTCTTCTCTCTTCTTCTTCTTCTTCTTCTTCTTCTTCTTCTTCTTCTTTTTCTTTTCTTCTTCTTCTTCTTCTTCTTCTTCTTCTTCTTCTTTCTTCTTCTTCCTTCTTCTTCGTTCTTCTTCTTCTTCTTCTTCTTCTTCTTCTTCTTCTTCTTCTTCTTCTTCTTCTTCTTCTTCTTCTTCTTCTTCTTTCTTCTTCTTCTTTCTTCTTCTTCTTCTTCTTCTTCTTCCTTCTTCTTCTTCTTCTTCTTCTCTTCTTCTTCTTCCTTCTTCTTCTTCTTCTTCTTCTTTCTTCTTCTTCTTCTTCTTCTTCTTCTTCTTCTTCTTCTTCTTCTTCTTCTTCTTCTTCTTCTTCTTTTCTTCTTCTTCTTCTTCTTCTTCTTCCTTCGTCTTCTTCTTCTTCTTCTTCTTCTTCTTCTTCTTCTTCTTCTTCTTCTTCTTCTTTCCTTCTTCTTCTTCTTCTTCATTCTTCTTCTTCTTCTTCTTCTTCTTCTTCTTTCTTCTTCTTCTTCTTCTCTTCTTTCTTCTTCTTCTTCTTTTTCTTCTCTTCTTCTTCTTCTTCTTCTTCTTCTTCTTCTTCTTCTTCTTCTTCTTCTTCTTCTTCTCTTCTTCTTCTTCTTCTTCTTCTTCTTCTTCTTCTTTGATATTTTTTCCTGTTTAGTTCCCACCTTTTGTGTCTTTTTCTTGGAAGAAACAGATAGACCGACAAACGAATGGAAAGATAGACAGACAGGAAGACAGGCAGGCAAACAGGCAGGCAGGCAGGCAGGCAGGCAGGCAGACAGACAGACAGACAGACAGACAGACAGACAGACAGACAGACAGACAGACAGACAGACAGACAGACAGACAGACAGACAGACAGACAGACAGACAGACAGACAGACAGACAGACAGACAGACAGACAGACAGACAGACAGACAGACAGATAGATAGATAGATAGATAGATAGATAGATAGATAGATAGATAGATAGATAGATAGATAGATAGATAGATAGATAGATAGATAGATAGATAGATAGATAGATAGATAGATAGATAGATAGATAGATAGATAGATAGATAGATAGATAGATAGATAGATTAGATAGATAGATAGATAGATAGATAGATAGATAGATAGATAGATAGATAGATAGATAGATAGATAGATAGATAGATAGATAGATAGATAGATAGATAGATAGATAGATAGATAGATAGATAGATAGATAGATAGATAGATAGATAGATAGATAGATAGATAGATAGATAGATAGATAGATCAACAGACAGAGAGGCACACAGAGAGATATGCATACATATACAAATACATATATACAGACAGACAAACAGATAGAAAGACAGACAGATGTATTGCAAAAATCAATATTAACCAGATAAAGCAAAATAGGCAAACAGGAAAGAGCTTTCAAAGAACTCACCCTGTAAATGAACACAGAGGAGAGTGAAACAAAAGGCAACAAGCCCGGAGATGGCCAGGGCGAACCAGGCGTAGATCAGGCGAGCCCAATACCGAGATAATCCTGGCTCATGAAAGCAAATCATTAGAATTTGTAGTTTCACAACTGTTATCAGGAACAATCAATACAACAACAACTATTACTACAGCCATCACCACCACCGCAACCAATACAACAACAATTGTGACCTCAGCCATCACCACAATCAAAACAACAACAACAACAACAACCACTATTACTACAAATATCACCACAAACAAAACAACAGCATCAACAACTATTACTACAACCATCACCAGCACCACCATCAATACAACGACAACTTTTACTACAACCATCACCAGCACCACCATCAATACAACGACAACTTTTACTACAACCATCACCAGCACCACCATCAATACAACGACAACTTTTACTACAACCATCACCAGCACCACCATCAATACAACGACAACTATTACTACAACCATCACCACCAATTCAACAACAACAACAAACATTTTATTTTCACACAAACCATTGAATGGAAGTGATTTTCAAACTACAGACATATGTATCATGTCAAATCAGACATTTGATTTTAAAAAAAAATGTGTAATGTAATGGTATACAAAATGCATATTTATTACCTAAAAATCTCCACTCTTAGTCAAATTCTTTTTCTTTTTTTTAAATTTACGTGAGAGTATTTGTGTGTGTGTGTGTCTGTGTGTGCGCGCGCGCGTGTGTGTGTATGTGTGTGTGTGTTTGTGTGTGTCTTAAGTTTAACCTGAGGACGGATTAATTGAAATATGTCATGGAAATAAAGGTTCCAGATGGAAACTGAACGTGATAACAATCACAGTCAGGATTGCATTCAGCTGGTTAGCCAATCTTCTACTGTACCGTCAATACTACCAATGCTACAACTGTAATAACCATTGCAACAACAACAACAACAACAACAACAACAACAACAATGAAAACAACAACAAGTAATACTACTACCACCAATGATAAAACAACAATTAAAAACAGCAACAATAGCTACTTCTAATATTGCTAATAATAATGCTACTACAACTACTACTATTACTACTACCACCACCAGTTCTACAACAATAACATCAATTACAACAACAACAGTTACTACTACTACTACTACTACTACTACTACTACTACTACTACTATTACTATAATTGCTGCTGCTACTACTACTACTACTACTACTACTACTACTACTACTACTACTACTACTACTACTACTACTACTACTACTACTACTACTACTACTACTACTACTACTACTACTACTACTACTACTAGTACTACCACTACTACTACTACTACTACTACTACTACTACTACTATTACTATAATTGCTGCTGCTGCTACTACTATTATTACTACTACTACTACTACTACTACTACTACTACTACTACTACTACTACTACTACTACTACTACTACCACTACTACTAGTGGTACTAGTGCTACTTCTACTAACACCACTACTACTACTACTAGTACTACCACTACTACTACTACTACTACTACTACTACTACTACTACTAATACTACTACTACTACTACTACTACTACTACTACTAGTACTACCACTACTACTACTACTACTACTACTACTACTACTACTACTACTACTACTACTACTACTACTACTACTACTACTATTACTATAATTGCTGCTGCTGCTACTACTATTATTACTACTAACTACTACTACTACTACTACTACTACTACTACTAACTACACTACTACTACTACTACTACTACTACTACCACTACTACTACTACTACTACTACTACTACTACTACTACTACTACTACTACTACTACTACTACTACTACTGCCACTACTACTAGTGGTACTAATGCTACTTCTACTAACACCACTACTACTACTACTAGTACTACCACCACTACTACTACTACTACTACTACTACTACTACTACTACTACTACTACTACTACTACTACTACTACTACTACTACTACTACTACCACTACTACTACTACTACTACTACTACTACTACTACTACTACTACTACTACTACCACCACCACCACTGCACTACTACTACTACTACTACTACTACTACTACTACTACTACTACTACTACTACTACTACTACTACTACTACTACCACTACTACTACTACTACTACTACTACTACTACTACTACTACTACTACTACTACTACCACTACTACTAGTGGTACTAATGCTACTTCTACTAACACCACTACTACTACTACTAGTACTACCACTACTACTAGAGGTACTAATGCTACTACTACTACTACTACTACTACTACTACTACTACTACTACTACTACTACTACTACTACTAGTACTACCACTACTACTACTAGCGGTACTAATGCTACTACTACTACTACTACTACTACTACTACTACTACTACTACTACTACTACTACTACTACTACTACTAGTACTACCACCACTACTACTAGCGGTACTACTGCTACTTCTACTACTACTACTACTACTAGTACTACCACTACTACTACTAGCGGTACTAATGCTACTACTACTACTACTACTACTACTACTACTACTACTACTACTACTACTACTACTACTACTAGTACTACCACTACTACTACTAGCGGTACTAATGCTACTACTACTACTACTACTACTACTACTACTACTACTACTACTACTACTACTACTACTAGTACTACCACTACTACTACTAGCGGTACTAATGCTACTACTACTACTACTACTACTACTACTACTACTACTACTACTACTACTACTACTACTACTACTACTACTACTACTACTACTACTACTACTACTACTACCACTACTACTAGCGGTACTACTGCTACTTCTACTACTAAAACTGACGCAAATAATAATAACAAAAAAATAACCAACATCACTAAGAGATTGGACAACAAGACCAAC